CCTTTTTTGTATGGACTAAAGAATGTGTGCATTTATATAAATGGAGTGAGATGAAGGAAGAGATGTTATTGTAATCCACGAAACCTTAGGAAACTTGGTCAGCAATAGAAAGGGAGGAAAATTGTGAAGCTACAGATTGTTCAGTCTTAGAGGGAAATCAATCAATAGTCTTCTGTTTTGTTTTTGCTTTAAGCTGATGTTTTTCAAAGAATTGTTATTACTAAGAGTTAAACATGCATATCAATAATGCCTAGATTTAAGCATATTAAGCATGTCTAACGGTCTATCTAATCGATTTTTATATTTTTCCTGGCTTGCCCCCGCTGCCTCCTTGAAAGAGAGGTGTCCATTCCGGTTATGTTGCTTTCTTTTTCTAAGAATATCTTAAAAAAAATCTAAGAAAAACTTAAAGTTGACTCGCTCACTTACGAAATAAAGAAAAGAAGCGCACGGCTTACTAAGACACTAGGTAATGAGCCCGCATACACATTCACTCGCTATAAGACTCACTTACAACAATGGGAGAGACTACCAAGACTGAATGCTTAGAAGAATGGAAGAAAAGAGGAGTCTGATGCCAAGACAAAAGAGACAAAGAAAGAAGAGAATAATCATAATGAAGGTAGGTCAATTACATCGAACAAAGCAAAGTTCAGTCATAAAGGCAAGGAGAAAAGGCGTCTGAATGGACTACGGAAGTCCTGATAAAATAAACGAGAGTCAGAAAAAGAAAAGAAGGGAAGTGTAATTGACCGTAGGAGAAGAGCCAAAGGCTCATAGGAAGTCAAATAGTCCAAACTCTACTGGTGAAGGTCATGGTCGGTCCAAAGAGGGACCATTAGTACGAAAAAGATTAGATTAAAGCATCAGGATTCGCAGCTCTCCTTCTAACAGAATCAACGAACGCTCAAGAAGACGTCGGCCAGGTCCATCACAAGGAAAACGAAAACCAAGATTTGCCAATTTCATATTAAACAAACGTTTTCAAATTAAACAAACATAAATTGATAAATAGTCATCACCATGAGCACAATTTATTCCTAGGAATATCATTTACAAAATTTCTAAGTCATCAGCTTCTTCCACTCATTTTGTCTAAATTTATAAGCTCCATCTTCATTGTGGATCTAGCTTTATACTTAGATTATTTTCATGACACTACTCTACACACTTAAAGTGAACACTTAGTCACTTTTAGCCTTAGAGTTTTTCTCATGTCCAATACTCGATTCAACGTGATCAAAATTCATTGCTCGAGTTACTCGTCAACATTCTTAGTTTACTCGCTTAAATGCAACATTGAGGCGAGTACTATCCGACAAGCAACTCAAGCCTCCGATTATTCAGCATACTTTTTTAGAGAAACTAATTATTCTCGAATTATTAGTTAAGTGTAGAGTCAATTCTTCATTCACTTTAGTTTGAGGTTTTATCGAACTCATTGAACCTCTTCAACATATATTTGACATGATGAGATTGTGTCAAACAATTACTTCCGATCTCTTAGAAACTTAATCTCCAAAATTACATCGGAATTTCACAAACTTTACATACATTTGACATGATGAGATCGTGTCAAACAATTACTTCCGATCTCTTAGAAAATTAATCTCCAAAATTACATCGAAATTCACAAACTTTATATGTCAAAGTTTATCTTCTTGGTATTCATGAACACATCATGATTATATTCCAAGATCATCATATTGTCTACATAAGACTTACGATCACAAAGAGTCGGAAGACCTTCATAGACTCATTTTGTCATTCAATGAATTTGAAATCATTCGACAAAATTATTAATTAATCAATTAGACATTTTTACTTTGGCCTAAACACCACATTTCAAGGTATAGATGCGAATGTTTTTTTAACTTTTTATTTTAACACGATTTTCATATTTGTTGTATAAATCAACTCAGATTCACCAACTTCTAGTATTAAAATTCACAGTCCTAATTTATCATGCCATAAAAAATAAATAAGACCAACTTATTTATTTTTTCGTCAATCAATAGATTACAACTTTTACAATAATTGTAATATGACCTTTATTAAGGTCTACTTATGCTAAGAATACATCATATTTGGACATAAATATTTGTCGATGATCACAAACTAATCTAAATTCGGCATTACTCAATTAATGGTCTGAAAACTAGATTCTTATGGATATCTTGGGCACGTAGAACATCCACGATATCCAATATTAATTCTTAGCACGCTACCTTGTCGGTTCCTCCAACACTTAAAGTCGAAGAATTGCACAAATAAGTTCTCCTAATTTAATCCACTAGTTGCATTAAAATCTAGGAAAATAGACCGATCTAAGCCAGAAACGCACAAGCTCGGTTCATGTAACTTGTGTTGTGTTATCCCTAACAGTGCACGACTACTAGTTTCTACGAATGAAATAAGAACGACGACAATTGCGGATCGAAGTCTTAAAGAACACATATTAAAGCTAAATTAAAGAACACATATTAAATATGGCATGTAACTAGAATAACACAATCAATTTTATACGACAAGTAAAACAAAATAAATTGCATTAATCGAACATAGTCACCGAAGGTTCATCGTCCCTAGAACCGAATAAATGTTAAGCTACACATAGCTAAATGATAAAAACAAAAATAATAATTTATCATGTTCTTCAAACAAAATAAAATAAAGAAAAATAATAGTAATAACAAATAAACCAAACTCCTTTAATGTCCACGGCCGATCCGATTTCCCGCAAATAAATCCTTGGTCCTCTGGTATCTGGAATTCAATGCCCCGCTTTCTGGAATTCTTACTCTCGAATCAATTGCCACGTGAAAGTCCAACCAGGAAAGGAATTAAAATCCCAATTTTCTTAAGTTATCGGCCAAATAAGGACAATAAAATCTCCTATTTCTTTTGAACTCTTGTTAGTGCCAACTAGTACAGAGCCCATTCGATTCACGAGGTGCACAATTTTAAGGTCATTTATTCAGCCTTATAATTATACTAGTACAATGCCCGTGTATTACACGGGTGTTTGTTAATTTTTTTTCTTAAAATCTAAAATTAATGAGAAAAAGTAGTTGAATTTAAATATCATTTTATAAAAATATATATTATTATATATTTAGTATGACAATTTTTATTTGTGCAACTTACATGTGTTATATTATAATAATTTTTTAAACTTACAATATATAACTACATTAAACATAAATATATCAATTGAGAAATAATTTTATTTTTCTAATGAATTTTAGTAAATATTATTAATTTTTATTATTATAAAGATAAATATAATTCATTTATTTCATATATACAATATGAATGTCAAATCGAAGATAATCAAAAGATGATTAATTTGATATATTATATATGTAAAATCGATAAGAAATACAAAAGTTATAAACTTTTAAAATACATTTATAATTCAATAGCTAATTGAAGGAAACAAATCAAAAGTCAGGGATATATTAGTCACTTAGTGCCTCAGTATGTAAAATTACAAAGAAATAAAGGGTTATATTAGTACAAGTGGTATTAAAATACCTAAGTTAGCTAAATAATATTTATGAAATGTTCAAACCTAAATTATTAATTATTAATATATCAATATTATTTGTCCAAACCTAATTACGAAGCATGATTCTTTGCCAATTAGGATTCCGAAGCACCAGAAACAGCCACGTAGGCTCAGCGCATTCGAGAATAATATATAGGGAGGATAAAGAAAAATATACAGAATATATATAGTACGTGACCTGTGCGAGACACAAGATATATTTATTTGGGATTATTATACTATAAGATGCAATATTCAATAAAAATTCTACAATACACGAAAATAAATATAAATAATGTAAATATCTAAATTCATACACGATATGTGGAATAAGTAAACCAAATTGCAAATCTGAAAATATAATTAAAAAAATAAAAAATATAGTTCACTAAACATCTACAAAAATATCTAAATACATACACGAAAAAAAAATATAGGTTTCAAATTTCAAAATTAAAACAAAAATTCAAATAATTTGGCTTACAGTTTTATTATGTAGAACCAACTCGAGATATGATTTGTATGTGTTGCCACAGTCTTGGAAAAACATTCTCCCAATTCGAACTTTGAGCATATGTCTATTAGACCTATTGATTTGTTTGATTAACCCAAATCCTTGATTCATTGTTTTGAATAAAAGACTGATTGGGGATATTTTTTTTCACAGGAGGAGGAAGATGATGACTCGATATTTTGAGATTTGTAATTTATAATGGGTAGAGTAGATATATATTGTTGTTAATATTTTTATTAGAAAATATGAATTTGAATATACTGAAATCGGTTTGAACAAAATAAGATCAGATTTCTATACAATTAGATAATA